TTCTCTTTCACTCTACTTAAAACCAGTTGCTAAAATTTCTTTTGATTGATGGATGGACTATAAAGTACTTCAGGTCACTCAGCTTGAACAGTTTTTCAGGCTTGCTTCCGCCTTTCAAATGATTGGCCGAGTCTCAGAAATTATAAACAGTTTCTATTAGTAGTCCAAAGAATAATCTTATCATCCCCTTAAAAGAACGAGTAGCTCAGAAATGTCCTTCTTTTAATACATATATTATAGCATACACACACACACACACACGCATACCCACATTTTTTTTTTTTTTTTTTCATCAATATATATATATATATATATATATGTTGTTTTATTGATGAACCAGAAGTGAACGAGTTTCCTCGATTACCTGGCACTTGGAAAGCAGCATATTTGAGCTTGATATTCCTAGCACATTGTGCAATGCTGAATTAATTCAAACTAAATACTCTAGAGCATAGAGTCCAGGCTCCAAAATTAGCCTCAAGAGAAAGGGGCAGTCATCCAGGCAGCACTACTCTCTAACATGAACTTCCACATCCTGAATATGTAACATCTGGTCCTTGCTAATCCATGCCTCTCTTCCTCATCTTCTCTACTAACCCTTCATAGCTTATGTCACCTAGGATGTTCAGGAATGAGACTACAGCCCAAGGACTCACTCATACCCAACAGGATACACTTCCCTAAGAAGATTCTGTCTTTAAGAGTTTGGTCCACCATTACAAGGTCCCCTTCAATTACTGGAGGTCAGGCCTCTATCCCCGCCTTCACAAGATTAGATTCACCACAGCCCTTCTATACTTAGAGAAGGGAGGAGATGTCAGGGGCAGCCCTGCTTACCCACTGAAGGCCTAAAATCAGCCATAGGACTAAAATCAGCAATAGGTCCGTCATACATGTATACTAACACCAAGTCTTGGGTCTCTGTGAAAAAACATTGAAACAGATGGCTATACGCTATTGTAAACAGGCAGTTTTTGCAGAAATTTACCAGCCTGAGTAGTCATAGACCTTGTGAATATGTAGCCTTGGCAGATAATACCAACTTAGATAAGGACAAGTGAGTCATAGGCAGAGTTACAGTGACCTGTCTCCTGAACCTTCACCCAGCTGATACCCGGTTCTGAAAGATATCTGTACTCCCCCTGAACACCCACACTTCAGTGTGTCATCCCCTTCCCCACATCCTGCCTTTCTGTTTTTATAACCCCTGTATGAATGAGTTACGATTTCAGAAAAAATAAATAAATTATTTAAAAAACAAAGAAAAAGAAAAAAAAAGAGTTTGCTCCAGAATAGTCACATTTTAAAACTCTCCTCCTCATCAGAACTCTATTTAAGTTACCAGATAGCTCCAGGAGAGAGGGGATAATCTTTATCAGATACCCTGTGCACTAAGGAGGCTCAAGGTACAGGAAACAAATCTCCCGTTACTTTGTTTCCCATACATGCCTGGTTGTATGCACTCAGCAATTTTAGATTTTATGTTCCTGTGATTCTAGTTTTGGAAAATAGATCCTAATGACTCTCACTTAAATAGCCTATTTTGTCGCATTTTAAAAGTCTGAATAATAGTCTCTGAACATTCATTCATAAATACTTTCCAGATATCAAATGGCTACTTCCCTCATGCCAATTTAGGCAAGGAAAGAAGGCTTTTGCTTCACAGTCTGAAAATTGATGTGCTGCTTCCTAGAGTCACACTTCTCTGATTGCAGAGCAAGACCATAAAGCCAACATCCAGGCATTTGGTTAACTGCACAGCACTGTCCAGCAAGCACACATCAGCACATCACAGAGTCCCACCTCATCAGAGACACCGGCTTGCCAAGTGTCCATTCATTTCAATTAAGAAGTAAAGCCAAGGCAGAAGCCTGACCTTTCCTTGACTCTCCTACTGGTTTTTGTTTTATTGTAACAACTTTTGAAAGCTGTCAGGAAGATTATCTCCGCTGCCTTGTTTTATAGAGGAAGATCTGTGCTCTTGGAACTTTGTGAGGTATCCGACTGCAGGACAGTAGCAATGGTCTCTCTGCACCTTGGTTACCACTCGCTTTCTGATTGGAAGATGAAGATATGGCAGCAAAGCAGGAGAGAGCATTTGTCTATAGTCTAAAGTCTTATATTCAAAAAGAATGTTACAGTAACATTCAATAATACTGTTTTTAGAGATGAAAATATTTAAACACACACTTAATGTTAATGAGAGTAAGAGTTAAAATACATCCTGCCTTTAAAAATAGCTACAGTCACAAACACATTTTCTAATACTTGCTTAAAAACTTAATTCTGTACTTCTAAGTGCCTATGTCAGTGTTTAATTGAAATTATGCCCAGGGCCCACATTACACATAGTCTTCCCACTCTAGAGTAGAGTGCACACAATACACCCTAGAGTAATAAGAACGAATGGACCAACATTTTGAACTTGATGTGCATTTGCTAGAAGCCAGGGTTCTGCCTCAAAAGAACATCGGAAGAGGGAAGGTTAAAGAAATTAAGTCCAACTTCCTAAGTGTATGGCTCACAAAACAGAGGCTCTCCCATCAACAGAGAGACTACACACCACATCACAAGAAGCCCTGAAAGTTCAAAAGGGTTCCCAAGGGTGCTGGCCCAGATCCATCCCATCTTCCTTCTAGTATCCTCTCTGCAAGCAGCTGCTCTATCTAGTGCTCCATTCACCACCATTAGTCTCTTTCTTTCTCCAACAAATTAACCCTGATTAGTATGGAGGAGAGGAATAGTCTATACTTGTGTGTATGCGTGTGTGAATGCATTGTAGTCCTTAGAAATTTACTCAAAGAATGTATATCTAAGAAGATACGTGACAAGTTACTGCTGCTCACGTTAGAGAGTCAATCAAAGCAAACACAGGTGGGGAGGGCCTCTAATATGCACATAGGGCAAATTTTTTAATTGTTTTTTTAAAAGGTACTTTTGGACTAGAGAGATGCCTCAGTGATTTCAGAACACTTGCTGATCCTCCAGAGGATTGGAGTTCTTCTACTCCCAACATCCACATCAAGATGCACACGACTTCCTAGAACCCCAGCTTGAAGGGAATCTGACTCCCTCTTCTGGTTCCAGAAGGCATCATCCCCCACATACTGTATGCACTCATAGAGACACATGTACACACAAATAAAAATAAATCTTTAAAAATAATTTTAGAAGCATTTTCCTCTCCACTTTGCGGGTGATCGAACTGAGGAGCGGATGGCCTCATCCACTGTCCGAGGTCACATAGCTGGCAAATGCTAAGTTATATATAAGATACAAACAAAAGGATTTGGGTATCAAGCACAGATCTTCCCTACCCATGCGAAGTTGTTTAAATGCTAGAGCCATAGATGTCTCTGATTTTCATAGCGTATTTTAAGGTTTCTGAATTTAAAAAAAAGGTCACTAGCAATTCCATATTACTTCCCTACAGTGAGCTTGAAGAAACTGCAGTGACAGTCACTTGCATGTCTTGCATGATTATTCGTGCACCTCTTATCATACACAGTCACTTCCACATCTGCCATCTCATGTGATCGTCTCAGCATCCCTGTAGTATCGAGAGAGGAAGTCAGAACAGTCACATCCTGTTGAAGGTCACACAGCCTCTGTCTGCCTATTTCCATCTGGCTTTGAATCCCACTCCTTATCCAGAGTCTGGCAATGAATGAGTCCAGGGCTGGACTGAATATCTCAATTTTCAAAGCTCTTTCCTAGGTCTTCCCAGATGCTAAACAAATCAGTTTATGAGTTTAGTATCCCTTGGCAGAATTTCTTGAGAGCAGAAGTCTTGACTTTATTTTTAATTTTGAGATTTTTCATTTGTCTCTAAGGGTGGGACTCAAGCCTAACTAGAAATTTGATTACATTGCATATACTGTTTAAAGAATTGGCAATTTAAATTTAATTTTGTATTAATTCTTTGATGTAGCATACAAAACAATGGGCCTCATTGTAACATTTCAAACGTGTACACAAGAACACTTTGTTCACATCTCCCACTGTCTTGCCTTCCTTTCCCAATGGTTCCTTATCACTCCAGAAATCTCAGCAGTCATGCCATATGTGTGTGCAAAATTTCACACACACCTTACACAGATAGCTGGAAAATAGTCGTATACATTGTTATTCAGCACCTCTGTTTTGACTCTGATACATCTACTTAGGTCAGGTGATTCTGGACAACTTGGACTTGGGGCATCAGGAATGATCAATGTGTATTTAATAGGTCCAACCACATTAGCAGTAACCAGGACACTGGAGAAATTGAAAACCATCATATTTTTTACTAGATATTTTATTTATTTACATTTCAAATGGTATCCCCTTTCCCAGTTTCCCCTCTGCAACCCCCTATCCCATACTCCTCCCCTGCTTCTATGAAGATGCTCCCCCCACCTACCCATTCATTCCCACCTCACCACCCTGACAGTCCCCTACACTGGGGTATCGAGCCTTCACAGGACCAAGGGCCTCTCCTCCCACTGATGCTAAATAAGGCCATCCTCTGCTACATATGCAGCTGGAGCCATGGGTCCCTCCATGTGTACTCTTTGGTTGGTGGTTTAGTCCCTGGGAGCTCAGAGGGGTTTGGTTGGTTGTTATTGTTGTTCTTTCTAAGAGGTTGTAAACCCCTTCCGCTCCTTCAGTCCTTTCTCTAGCTCCTCCATTGGGGACCCCAGGCTCTGGGAGCATCCACATCTGTATTTGTCAGGCTCTGGCAGACCATCTTTTTTTTTTCAGTCTATTGAATAACAATATTCACCACTGACTCTCTGATACACACACACACACACACACACACCACATATCAATGAACAATAAAAGTTCTTCACTGGGATAATTGATGACCAAGAGCACACAAAAGAGAGATAAACAAATAATAATTATAAAAGACATAGAGTGTTTGGGCAGAGGTGTTCACTAGGTTCTACTGGGATGCATAAGAGGTACCCCTTCTCAGCATCAGTTCCTCAGTGAGGATGGGTCCTGAAGTTTGCCAAGCCTTCATCTATGTAGTTTCTCCCATCTGTCTTTCCTTTTCCAATCCCATCCTCCAACACCCACCCTTCTCTTTCCATCCCAGCAATCATGCATTTTAAAGGACCCTTTAAAAAGTGTTGACTCGTTGATGGCGTGATGTTTGATGTCAGCAGAATGTAACAAGGGCAGATGCATTTGTCTGCTGCTGTGTTCTGTGTCCTCCAGTGCCTATAGCTGTACTTGACACATGGAAATAGGTGCTCAACAAACACACTTCAGAAGAACAATCTCATAATCACTTACTCCTTATATTTAATTAAAAAAAACCTTTGCAATTAGCTTAATACTTAAAAGGAAACATTCCAAGCTGTTGTGATGGCATATATCTTTATTCCCACCACTTGAGAGGCAGAGGCAGATAGGTCTCTAAGTTCAAGGCCAGCCTGGTCTTCAAAGCCAGTTCTTGCCAGGACATCACAGAGAAACACTGTCTCAAAATAATAATAATAGTAATAATAATAATAATAATAGATTAATTAAAAAATAAGATAAAATGCCTCCTGTACCTGCCTTAATTAGCTCAGATATAAGATTCTACACCCTCATCATCCTATGGTATAACTCTTCTCCATCAAGTAGTTTCCACTCTGAGGTACTTGTGGCCCAGGGTGTAAGCATTGGTCCCATTCCTTGTATAGTGGGCCCTCTGTTTAACCTAAGTGCTGTTGCAGGCAACAGGCAACCTCTGACATCCTGTGTTCTGTGCAGATTGGGATTTGGAACTCCAACAGTGGGCTGAACATGACGGATGGCAATAGAGACAGGTCCAACAATATCACAGATTCGCTGGCTAACCGAACGCTCATTGTCACCACTATTCTGGTAAGCTATAAAGTTCTGGCCTTGTTTCCATACTCCCACCGTAGACGTAAAAGGATCCTTTCACTGTCTTTTCCAGCCTGGCGAGGCTTTCTGCATATGTCTATTTTTTTAAACCAGGGAGCTAAAAGCATACATTCATACATTCGTCTGTGCTTAAAGGAATGAAATATAAGTCCTTGAAACCTCTCCACATACGATCCCAGCTTCATTCGTTCCCTCTCTCCGCTCATCCTGGGCCACTTCTGTTCTCTGCCTGCTGAACTGCTGGTTGGTTTGACTTTAGAAAAAGACCAGGAAAGGTGATTCAATGAGGGAAGCCAGTGATGTTGTTTCCTGTGACCCCTGTACTGCCCATCAACAGTTTTGTTCAAGTCTTTCCATAAGCACATTCCTGCAGTGTCTGCTGCCCTATACCTAGGCTCCAGCTTCCCTGGACTGTGGCAACACCTCCTACCTCTTTGTTTCTACCCTGGATCTTCCTAGTGTCCAGGTGGAACAGGTCCCTGAACACTGCACTGTTTCCAGTCTTCCTTCTGTTGGTTCCTCTCCATTGGCTCATACCTCTGGAAAGAACCCTTGTATCACCTGACCCCAAAGCCTTGTGTCCCATTGCAATCGTGATCTTATGTCCAGCTAGCCAATGTCCACAAGCCAGCCTTTCCTCTCTTTTCCCATGGGAACTAAGAAGGCACAATCCACTGTGAACTCTGCACTTACGGCATGCCTTGCTTTATTTCATTCACTGTGTAACACTCAGCTCTTTGTCTCTGAAGTCGCCTTGTTAGACTTATTCATCTAAAATAAATCTGATTTTTATTTGCACTTTCTTCTGGCTGTCACTTTTACTGCAACCCTGCTTATGGAAACAGGGTTTTGGGGGCAAGGGGACAAGTGTCTTCTTTTACTTTTTGTTTTTGACAAAGTTCATTATATAGAACAGGCTGCCCTGGAACTCACCTATGTAGCCCAGGCTGGCCTCAAACTCATAGAGATAAATCTGCCTCTGCCTCCCCAGTGCCAGGATTAAACATGCATATGCCACTCTGGGCAATAACTTTCTATTGCATTGGCTTGATCCAACTGTCAGTTTGCTAGAAGAGGAACCTACACACATGTAGCATCTCATCAGTAGAGTAATTATTATGATATAAAACAAAGTGAACTTAGGAGAGAATTAGTAAGTTTAGAGATATGTGGTAGAAAGGCGGCCATTACTCATCAGATAAGGGTTTATGTGTAAGTGTCTAGGGAAGCACTGTCATATTTGAGGTCCAAGGTGATTGGACTCATAAAGACTAATAAAAGAAGAAACCCTGGAAATAGCCAACCAGTATGCAGAGCAAATACAACTGAAATTGTAATAAATACGTAAGGATGGGACTGGGAAGAGAAGACAAGGTGGTGGTTGAGATCTGGAGGTAAAGCTAATAAATGAAGCAATGAAAAAAATAAACCTTTAAAGATGGTTAGAAAAAAAAACCTCCTCAGTGTGAAATGGTAATGTGCATTAAAAAGGATTAAAAAGAAAAAGTTCTTATAAAATGCAAATTACATTTTCCCAAGGAAGGAGAAAAATCAGAATATTTAGCATATGTGATATTTGAAAAAATGAAAGACTTACATTTGCTGGTCTTCATTTCTCTTTTATAAATAGACAGTCTTAGGCCAAAGCCTAAGGCAAGTGGAGTACTACAGAAAGCCCAGATATGGTCCTATCTTAAGGAGGCACATGGCAGCCAAGTGACTTCTGAGATTTTCTATCGTCTCAGATTCAAACTTTGAACTTAACTATGACTCTGTCACACCATCCACTAATCCTCTCCCCTACTACAACAGTGAAAGAGAAAGCGCCCATCTAAAAAGGCAGGAAAGAAAGACAAACACATGAGGGCTTTTGTAACAGTGGCAGGCAAGTTTAGCAGAATCAGGAACGTAAGCAACTGACTTCAATCCCTTCCACTCTTAAAAATCAACTTCAAATCTTACATGTCTTCAGGCACTGACAGAACACTTTCCGTTTCATGATAACGGAGCTTCCATACCTGGTTTGTTTCGCTTAGGAAGAGCCCTACGTGATGTACAGGAAATCCGATAAGCCCCTGTATGGAAATGACAGATTTGAAGGATATTGCCTGGATCTGCTGAAAGAACTGTCAAGTATCCTGGGTTTCCTTTATGATGTTAAACTGGTTCCTGACGGCAAATATGGAGCCCAGAATGACAAAGGGGAATGGAATGGAATGGTTAAAGAACTCATCGACCATGTAAGCAAAACCACACATGACTGGAAAACGCTCTAAGGGAAGAAGTAAAAGGAGGAAAAAACAGTTCAGAAGAAAGGTTTTTGGTATTCCGTGTCTTTCAACACACACATACACACACACATACACACACACACACACACACACACACACCACATAAATATTTCTTAAAAGGAAAATGAACTTTGCCCAGTCTGGAAGGGTGGGTGAAAATAAAAGTTGAGGATTAAAATTTATACATTCACCCCTTATATGTCAATGAGTAAGCTTGAGAAGTTTCCAATTAAATCAAAAATTCTAGGACCTGGGACTTGGGACTCAGAGAAAAATCTCAACGTGTCACCTTATATTAGACCAAGGTATTCCTTCCTCCCTTCTCTAACATGCTCTTGGTAAAGACAGTATTTGGTAATTTTAGTTTATGAATGACAATACCCTCTGTATGTGTTTGTGATTCTCTGTCTCTCTGTCTCTTTCTCTCTCTGTGTCTCTCTGTCTCTCTCTCTCTCTCTCTCTCTCTCTCTCTCTCTCTCTCTCTCTCTTTCCCTTTCTCTCATGCACACTCTCAGTGTGTGAGTTATGGGGAAATGGGTGTGTACTTTACATGGACCCTCACCCCACCCCTCCATACTTTCTGGTTTCTCTTTGATAATAAATTCTATAATATAAATAAAATAAACTCATGCTAGACACTCCTTGCACAAAAAAAAATTTGTAGTTGAGATTAGGAGAAGGCTAGTCACTTGAAACTGACCATTTGGTACTTGCTTTTACAGAGAGCTGACCTGGCAGTGGCCCCTCTCACCATCACGTATGTACGGGAGAAAGTCATCGACTTCTCCAAGCCCTTCATGACCCTGGGCATTAGCATCCTTTACCGGAAGCCCAATGGAACCAACCCGGGTGTCTTCTCCTTCCTCAACCCCCTATCTCCAGACATTTGGATGTACGTGCTGCTCGCCTGCCTAGGGGTCAGTTGTGTACTCTTTGTGATTGCAAGGTAAGTTTGAGAATACTGAATTCAATGCAATGATCTGGCAGTCACAGATTTCAAAAATTCATGGTTTAAACATGCAATTTTATTTTTGCTCATTGTTGCATTTTTTCTCAGGGTTTCCATGGAAAGCTGTTAGGTGCATTGAAAGCTAATTATCCATAAAGATACATTTTTAAAGGAAGAAGACAGTTCTTTATAGTAATTTAACTTTTCCCATACTTCAATTTGCATAGGATTACTATTTATCCCATTTTTCCATGGAATAAAGGACAAAAAAAAAAGCAACAGATCAACTGGGATAGCTAAAATGTTACTAAAATAATAAAATTATTTTAAGATATTTTCTTCAGGAATAATTGAATAAGCTGAACAGAAAAACAAGGTAGCTGGGAATCACCATAGCAAATAAAAACCATGGAAAGAAAGATGCAGAGCCCCTTAAGGATTGAGGAAAACATTTTAAAATTTTTGTGAGATTCTTCTTTAAAATCATTAGAAGGTAAATAAGAAAACTGTGGAAGTCACACTGAAAAGGAATTACAGTGTGGATGTTTAATTGATGATTGATTGATTGATTATCTGATTGACTGGCTGATTGTTGGTTTATTGCTTCTACACTGGAGATGGGGTATAGGGCCTTATGCATGCTTAGCAAGCCCTCTACCACTTAGCTACATCCTCAAGCCATTGTAAAAGCTTTATGATACTCTGGAAGTATTTCCATTTAAGCTTTATCTTTGAAGATTAAACTCTGCCCTCTATATGTATCCATTATACTTTCCACAAGTCTTCCAGAGCTTTTTATTCTTCTCAGTAAAACATATATCTAAATGCCTTTGACACTGAATTTGAAACTACTATTCTATTTTTCTATTCCTCTTAAACTTTTGATAGCTCTAGATAAAGTATATGTTTTTTAAAATTTACTTTTTAATGCAATGTTCGTGTTTTCAATCTTTTTCACCTTTTGACAAAAGTTGGTAATTTTTTCCTCTAATCAATTTTTTTCTTCTCTCCAAGGATTTATAAAAAAATAATCTCTTCATGGTAGCTCTTTGCCATTGTCATTTGTCCAGTTTTGCTTAATGCCTGGTAACTTCTCCTCAGCATAATTACAAGGAATACTTGGGAAAATACCCCAAGCAGGAAACATGCAGAAGATCTACAAGACAGAATCAAACAGAATAAGTAACTTCTGATGCGTGAATATTTAAGCTTTCAAAGGGACTAAAGTCTGGGAGTTCTCAACATCTTATAAAATGTGCTATTGTCAAATCTCAAATTTTGTTTTTTGAAATAGTGGTCAAAATTCTCTTTATACACAAATACACACACACACACACACACAAACACACAATCAATCAATCAATCTATCAATTTCAAATATTCAGTCATGTCACAGTCAAGGACCATGTTCAAGATAATTTAACAAAATCCTTGAAAATAATTGACCTTTGGAGATTTGTCACAGTTCCCAGATGAAGTTATAGTGACCTTGAATAGCCATAAAGTTATGAAGTACCCTCTCATGAGGATCAGGCTATGTAGGGTTGACTTGTTCCATTTCTCTAGCCCTAACTAAGCAATGAAAAAGACAGAGAACAATAAAAATGTGAGTCTTCAAATCCTGAGTCCAGGGTTTCTTCAAACATCAATGCTCACAAATGAATCAAGCAAAGTCATGTTGATGGAAAATTCCTTTACTTACTCTAGCAAAGTTGGCCAAAGCTACCTGGAAGAAACTAGTATGTGAGCATAGTTCAGAAGCCCTCACAAAGACATGGACTGAAGGGACCCTATTGTACTCCCTCTTGACTGTGACTTTAGCTGCCCTTATATTTGTCATCAGGATATGTCAGAAAAGACATGTAACATTCAGAATATTCCCACACTTTGTTCATTTCCTTAAAAGCTCTTGGTGACCCACAGTCTGTATTTTAGACTCAATACCATATCATCTACACCTTTGAGTCTATCCTAATCCTACATTGTTGGACCACTAAGTGTGATGCTCAAAAATCAAAGCCCCAGCCAGTTAAGCAGGTGCTGATTCTCCTTTCCTTTCCATCATAGTCTGAGACCACAAAGTAGGTCACTGGGTCTCTCTGCACCAATAAGGTGAGATGCAACAGGATTTTAGTTGCCATCCTAGTGGTTTTCCCTCAAATTCGGTAACATAGAAATGAAAACCAGTTAATCTCATAATCATTCTTTGATCTAAAGAAGCTTCCAAGTTTGTGTTGTGACGTTTATCCTTTTGTTTTCTTAAAGTGAAGAAAATACAGCCCAATCCAGCATTTAAGCTAACATCTTCACTAAATAGATCCCTAAAAGTCCCTAAAAGATACTTAAGAGACTAAAACATCAATGGACCAAGATAAGGAAAACCATAGACAATGACAGTGAAGTACGACTAATGGGTGTGTTACTGTTTTGATTTGGCAGTTTGCTCTAAAAATATTTAACTCCAAGGAATTTGGATCATGGTGAACATAAGGTTGAACTGGGCCAAATTTCCATATACAGATCTTGCTTACATTGGTGACTCACAATTGTCTCCCTACAGTGAAGCTTTTAAAGTTGGCATTTAGCAAAAAGTAAAAGCTAGGAAAAAGAATGAACCCTTGAAAGTGGATTCTAAGGTTACAAACCCAACCATTGATGACAAGTACAAACAGATCTTTCCCCCATTGAAATCAGCTGGTCTTTCTGTCTTCAAAGCAACCAGTGTCTGTCAACAATGAGAAATAGACAGTAGCCTCCACAACTTTTCATTTAATGTAAAATTTACATTATCTAAACCTTAAACCAAAGTAACAGGTTCGCATGTATAAATCCTCTAAATTCATTATGCTGCATTTTGTTACAATGTTCCCCTTTGAAATAAGGAAAGTCTTTCTATGCAACTCAGGCTGTTCTTTAACTTCCTGTGGAGATAGACTGGCCTCAAACAGGAAGCAATCCTCTTGTCTCAGCATCCCAAATGTTGGAATTATGGGCAGCACCATGCACATGAAAAAGTACTATCATTTATACAAGTATTCACATAGATTCTAAATACACTTGTCCCATTCTCATGGTCCTGACATTTGGTACTGACCTACTGAGGGTCCTCTGGGATAGTGATTTTAGATGACCATTCCAGCAGACCATGTATTGCTCTTTCCCTAGACCTCCTGGTGCTGACATACTGTATTGTGTCACTGTGGCTATATTAACCAGGCTTTACAATTCTCAAAGGAAAATATATGCACCTATACAACAAGTGTGTGTTTCTACGATGTAAAAAGCTGGTGTCTTACAGCATAGCCTGTCATTTGTTTAATACCTTTCAATTCACATGCTTCATGTCATTCTGAATCCTAGAGTCAAAGAACTAGCAATCTACTGAAGAGCTGAGACATGTGCTGATGTTTAGACTGTTTCCCTCTGCTCTACAGAAAAGCCAATTAATTGTTCATAAGTTTTAAAATGTTAAACATGGGGGTGGGGAACTAAAAGCAGCATGCCAGGGAAGTGTGCTCACAGATCAGAGTATATTTAATGAGTAAACAACAGGATATTAGGGGCTGGTATTTTCTAGGCTTTATGGTCTATTTGAAAAGCCTGTATTCTTGAATACATAATCCTCCTAATTTATTGCAATTAATATTTTAAAGTTATTGTACCAGGGATGATGATATTGTTTAAGTAACAACATCTTTACTCTGCATGCTGTTTCAATTATTAGGTTCATTAATACCGGTATTCGTTCTTTCGGCTCAGCAAACTACTACGGTTATGAGAGTGTATAAATTCAAAACTTAATTATACTGTTGCAGCAGTAATTAAAATGTATTGGCATGGCACTGTCAATTAAAGCTATGTTCATAAGCTCACAGCAACCTGTGTGGTGTACCCTGCAGCTTGAAAAAAGCCACAGGAAAGAGTTGGATAATGTTATGGTGCGATAAATGACCAGGCTGCTATCCTAATGTCCCTAAGGCTCCATGAGAAGACACTACACACTTTGCAGAAGGTGTACAGGGCTTTAGAGAACATTTTTCATTAAGAGAAACTATCTTCCCAGTTCCTATACATGATTCACAGCATGTCCGGCTTTTCACTGTAGATAATATATTCACCTTAAGCCCAGTTCTCCCTGAGAGCACACAATAGCATCTGCAGCCTGCTATTGTTTATTGCTGAAGCCTTATGGCTTGGAGAGTATCCCTATGTTCTCATTGGTGTTATGGTATTTTAACAAGGCTCTAACAATCCTTTTTCCCTTAAAAAAGACCCAGCAGTAAGTGGCAAAGCTTCCAGTGCTATGAATTACTGCATTTTAAAATTATTACAGATTACTTTGATGAACATCTGGCAATGTTTTAATAAAACACACATGCACACACATGTACACACACATGTACACACACACACACACACACACACACACACACCTTGCTAGAGTAGCTCCCTAAAATACCGCTATAGCTGGCACCTCCACTGGATTACAATAGTCAGACTGATTCTTAAAAAAACAGAAAGGACTAAAACTGTAATCAGTTCCCCAAATTATTATTTTAAATGTTACTTCTAAATATCTAGATTTCCCCAATTTATAAAGAGGTAAACTGAGGGCAAAGAAATCGAATCAAATTCTTCACGTAGATTTTCCTCGATGATTCATTGTATTTCCAAAAACTTATTACCCATGGCCCCTTGCAAGAAGAGCGATAATAATGTCATAGAAAACATTTCACACCTAACCAGAGTTGGTGATTACAAGACTGCAGGGCATAATTTAGAAAACAATTCAATTAAAAATAAATCAAAAGGAAAGCATGAGCTTCCAATTTCCTACTCTAAGCCTTGGAGTTAATGCTAATATACTATATTAATGATTGTTCCAAATTTAAACTTTGTCTTTTCATTAAAGAATTGAGGCTTATATTTCTATATAGTGTCTTTGAAACAAGAGATGTATGGCCCCCAAATCCAGTCTTCTTTTTGTTCACGTCTGGTTTTCATTTTGGTTTTCTTATTCCTGCCATCATTGGTAAAGTACTAGAATCTGTATATGTTTCTGTCCATGGAACCATAAATGTCCCAGAAGAGCAAGTGACCCTCACAGCATCTAGCAACATACTAGCTCAACTGTGCAATCCCTATGCATTCCATGCTGCTCTTGTTGCCCCTTGCTGGGGTCAAATCTTGGGATGAGAAATCCTTTCTTTACAGTTATCGCGTTGTTCAGTAAAAAGGAAATGAATGAAAGCACAGAAGAATTCAATAGGCATAGGTCTGAGGAGTGTGATCCTCGCTGCCAACAGGTTTGATCCGGAAGTGGAAAGCTGGTGGTGAATACTCGCCCGGAACTTCTGCATTTAGTCTCGCAGAGCTGGAAGTGGCTATACAAGATCTATTGCTCCTGCTCAGTTGTTGGGTTTCTATGTTGCTCGGGCAGGTTTTACTCTGCTTCGTGTATGCATCTGATGTTTACAAACTGTCTCTGTTAACTATCGCAGGTTCACACCCTACGAGTGGTATAACCCCCACCCGTGCAACCCTGACTCAGACGTGGTGGAAAACAATTTCACTTTGCTAAATAGTTTCTGGTTTGGAGTTGGAGCTCTCATGCAGCAAGGTACACCGGTTGCCCATTTTGTCACTTGCATCCCACAGTCTGCTGACAGGCTTTCATGCTGGTAAACTCCACCATGAAGCTAGACGGTAGAAAGAAACACCCAGGGATATAAAATCATAGTAACGGACTTTCTAGCCAGCTCTCAAGACAAAGACAGAAATGGAATTTAAACAAGACTCCCTTGCTATGTATCTGAAAAGAGCACATCTTTCAAAGAAGAGACATAAATTTTCCTGAAAGTAGTGAAGATTAAGGAACTTATATTATTATTTTTCTCACTGATGTAATCAAATAACTGATAGATGCATTTTAGGAAATAAAAGGTTTGTAGTGACTTATAATTAAGGTTATAGTCCAATCAGGTGTGGAATAAATGGCGACAGGAGCTTGGGGCAACTGTCATATTGTGTCTTCAGTCAGCAGATAGAACAATTAGTCCTATGCCCCTAGCTTTTGTATTCTCATTATATTATTATTATTATTATTATTATTATTATTTATCTGTAACCTCAGCTTATAGAGTAATGCTGTTACACTCAGGGTCTACTCTCCTCAGACAAACCTTTCAGGAAACATCTTCATACATCTCAAGTGATGTGTCTTCTAGGTGGATCTATGTCTTGTCAAGTTATCAGTGTAGGTTATCCATCACAAAACCTTAGACTTTTGTTGAATGAATGCATTTCCATAGATAGACATGTCAATCTTTTCCTTCAAGGCCATAACTTCACAAGGCAAAGGTTTAAATGGAGTGGGATTTAACTCCTTGGAAGTTTGAATTCACTTGGATTCCTTCAGGTGCTAACAAGATCTAGAGCTTCCACCTAATTGCCACTCAGACAAACCCACCTCAAATTCAGCTTAGCTGCCCAATAACTTTTGACAATCTCCTTCAAACTGGTAACCATAGCAACAGTAAACTTTAAGGGTTGGAGACATAAAACTGAAACCAAAGAAATGTAATATATTTTACCTTGCTCTATGATTTCAGAGATTTTCGTTTTTATTGTGGAGGAGGGAGAAGTTGTTTTAACCTTTGGAAGAAATCCATCTTGTTTTTTGGATTTTTCTTCAGCTTTGATTTCAAGCATATGGTCTACCAAATATCTCCAAGATTAAATGCATCCATTTAAGACAATCATAAGTAACAGATGCTGTTGTATTTGGAATATCTTTTCATTTGACAATAAGCTGCAAAATAAATTAGCAAAAGACAACCCAACTGGGATATACATTAACCATATTTGTGATTTGGAAGTCAACCTGAGGTTTTTCATTATGATGTAATATCATTTGAAATGTCTATAGTATGTGAATTCAACAGACAGAAAGAGGAAAGGGAGAGAGAGAGAGAGAACACAAATATATGTGTTGGTCTTTGTTATAGAAATACTACATAATTTAAGAAATGAATATATTTTTTGTAATTATACATAGTGCTGTGGGGACCATTAAATGGGTGTAGACCCAACCAGATTTAGTAGAAATCACTTGCATGAATTTAAAGCATAAAATGGAGCTATGAATCCTGCAAGACCCCCTGTTAGAAGCTATGTCTTACTTTCCCTGCACATTTAATTCTTCATGATACTTATCGCATGAGCAATTACTCTCAGAATTAAGGAGGCCTCCTCCCGTTTGTATAATATGCCTTCTCCAGAAATTGAATAAAAACAAATACACACAGGTTTCACAGGCCTATGAAGTTTTATGCCTAATGTCACATGCCTAATGTCCAGCTTTGAAACCTCACTCACATATTTTTGGAGTTTACCAGCATCCACAGCAAACTGTGGGATGCAGTGTCCATTAGTTACCACTACCTTGGATACATGACAGTCAGCCCCAGCCAGACTCTGCTTGTATGGAAGTTGACTAACATCTCTCAGGTGCAACAAGAATTTTCAAGTACAGCATTTATGACTGTCAGTGCATCTGCCCTGGGTACACGGTGTTGGACCAGGTAGACACCCTCTGTCGTGCTCTCCCCTGTGTGCAGGAGCCCGTCATTGTATTAAATTGGGAACCACTTTGTTGAATTTCTGTTTTACTGTGATGATCAGACTTTCTCTTTTCTACAGAGCCTGAGCAAAGTCTGGATCAGGATTGGCTGTCATGTCTGCCATAAAAGGCACTAAAGAGACTCCAGCAAGTATTGTCTCATCCAGAGTATTTCCAGCGGTGTTTAACTCTACACTATTACTGTTCTCATGACGTCATCCTCTAGGACACTGAATATGCACAAATCATCTCTTTTTGAGGAAGGCCATGTTGAAATACATCAGATAACATTAAGACTTAAGAAACTCCCAGAATTGTCCTAAAAAATTTTAAATACTATAAAGCAACATGGAAAAATTTCATTAATACCATCTAATGAGAGTTTAATATGCAGTTTTACTAGGTTGCTACATGTTTCCCTAAACTTTCAAGAATTTTTTTTCTCAAATTATAAATACTTATTTTAAAGTTCAAAAATACAAATTTATGTTTGCATGTCAAATGGTTATTCATCTGTAAGTCCATTTCCACTGCCATACAGTACATAATTATGTGTGTATACAGAGAAGTTGAAAGCTAGATTTTCATAAATGCAATAAGAATGACACAAGGATGAACCGATAGCAAAAATATCTCTACCTATAAGGCAAGAAAAAATGTATCTTTAATGTGATATTTATCTCCCATGGCTATTTTATAAAATAAATGGTATTTTAATGGCAGCTAACTAAAAACCTAAAATAATATCACATTGCCACAAGGCTGCTAGATCAATTAAACACAAAGATGCAAGGCAACCTTGGGCTTCAAGTGCACACACTCAAAGGCATATAAATCCTATTAAACCCCAAGATAAAAACAACAGCAGCAGATTATTCTGCTAAGTCCCTGGAGGCAATATAATGGAAATGGTTACAAATTTGTTGTAACGTTACACACCAAAATTCAAACAAACAAAAGAAGGGAATACAAACGATAGTGAAACCATTTGTCTCATCAAAGGGAGCCAAGCACAGAGACACTAAGAGTATTAAAAGAATATTTCTGTATTCAAATCCCAGATACTCTGCCAGCCTACATCTGCTTCTCCCCAGCTTTGAGTTGGTTTTGATTTCATGAGCAATTTGTATGTCTGCTTGTAGATTAAACCTGAGAATAAACTCACTCCTTTGGAGACTAGTGGATTCTAATTTTTCTTCCCATCTCACACCCTTAGTACCTATACAATTTTGAAACACCCGTTAGCATAAAGAAAGAACCCTCAAAACCCTATGTCTGATTCGTGGTACTCAAACCTTTCAGATCTCTGAGAGTCAATGGGGGCTATCTTCTCCCTCCTTTAACTGGACATATAAACTCTGCTATGATTTCAGGTTCATGGAAGTAATGCTAAGCACATCACCGGGAGCTGGGTTCAGGCAAATGGACTAACTGAAACGCATTCATGAATCAATTCAACTGAAGTGAAGTCACTTGTATTTCTGGTCCCTTCCAACTTGACTGTTTGAGATGTAAACATCCACAGCTCAAAGTTGACCCAGACTCTTCTCAAAAAGTTTGACCAATAGAACATCTTTTGGAAAAGAACACTCTTCTTTGTCAATACATATTACATATCTCCATGCTTCCTTTTAAGAGCAACAGAGACCTCAATGGTAGTTAAATGAAGGTTCTAACCAGGTACAAAATCTCCACCTGGGAAAACAGCTAGTTTTTGAACCAGTTCTTTTTTTTAAGGACCAAAACAAAGTCTTTTGAAGAGCATACTCTATTTCAGTCAAACAAGACTATAAACTAGAGGAAAAAAAGACACACACACACACACACACACACATATTTCATTAAGAGTAATGTGAAACAAAACAGAACTCATGAAGAAGCATGTCTGAGCTTCATTTTACATTATCTGAAAATTCCCAATCTTTTGTTTTCAAGTTGCATGTTATTACTGGAATGACATGTAATCTTTTGTAAGTTTCTTACACTGCTTAACCTTAAATAAAAATGTTACCATTTTAAAGCATTTAATTGTTATATAAATACCTAGAATATCTTTTTCCCTCTAAATAATGCATTAGAGACTAGTAAGGTCAGGAATCTTAGAATAAACTCTACACATTTAAGCAACTAAATACATTTTAGACAGTCTATCTTGGGGCTAAACTTTCAGCCATCAACTTCTACTACTTGGGTTATAAGCAGAGGTAATAATTAAAGACTTAAAGAGGGGATCACTTGGATTTTGTTCCATTTCTAGAAAACACATTCATTTCATCTTCATTCAAGATAGTCACTGAAGAATCTCTTCCCCTTAACATAATGACCAGTGTATGTGTCCTTCTGCTTGCTGACTCAGTTTAATACCCTCACTCTGATGATGCTGTCACAGGATCAGAGCTGATGCCCAAGGCTCTATCGACCAGAATAGTTGGAGGAATATGGTGGTTTTTCACCCTAATCATCATTTCATCCTACACTGCCAACCTGGCTGCCTTCTTGACAGTAGAGAGGATGGAATCGCCCATCGATTCCGCAGACGATCTGGCCAAACAAACCAAGATAGAATATGGGGCCGTCAGAGATGGCTCAACAATGACCTTCTTCAAGGTAAGAACCTTGTGAAAAGTTCTCAGTGTCTGTCTCATTCTGGAATGATGGTGGGGAAAAATAAAAGCCTCTTCAACTGGAGAAAAGATACTGGGTAACGTTTCTAATGGTATGAGTTTCTAATGCTTTGATCCCGTTATAAGGAACAATGTTCTCACCACAAAGACCTTCTTCTGTTCCTTCTTTGATCCATAATTTTTTGTTTGACTGTTTACTTGTTTGTTTTTGTTTTCTGAAACAGGGTTTCATGTAGCCCAGGGTCACCTCAAACTCAATGGGTAGCTAAACCCAGGCTTGAAGTCATGATCCTCCTGCCATTACCTCTCAAATATTAGAATCAAAGACATGGACCACCACACTCAGCCTGATTCCCAGTTTAATAAACTCAGATCTACAGATTAGTATTCCCTCTGGCCTTAAAATTTTTACATGTATCATTTATTGTTCCTGGGATTGTATCTACCCAGCATGGCACATGTCTGGCAGTCAGGGGATAGTTGTGAGAGTTGGTTTCCTCAGTCTGTGGGTCTCAGAGATTGAACTAAGGTCATCAATCTCTGCAGTGTCTTCCAAGCCCACCCTATTGCCCCCTCTCTGACCTTTATATTTGAATAGTTATGCTTCATGAATAAAATTTAATCATGCTTCCAAAAAATAAAGATTTTAAATCTATAATAACATAAATATAATATAAATATAATATAAGATTATATTTTCTGTTTACCACTTATAAGATGGAAGCATGTACCAAAAAACCCAAACAAACAAACCAAAAACATAAACATATGTTGTTCTTGGAACTAAGTTGTAGCATTAAAATCAAAAGCTTCCCAGGGATCTGGCTGTGTCTGAAGCTATCTATAAACTATAAATACTTTATGAGCACCACAGGAGAGTAGTGTTAAACTGGGTTGAGTTTTATGACCAAATCCATTTCACTGCCCAGGTCTTTTTAATTAGTGACTAACAGTAATGAAACTGATTTTTGCCTTGCTTATGGAGCAAGCCTTGGTACCTTTATTACCAAATATCAATTATGATAACTCCCATAAAATGAATTCTAATAGACACAATAGGTTAGCAACCATAGGGTGTGGCACTTCGCTTTATGATGAAGAAGACAAGAGTTCCAGGACCTGAACACTTTGCATAGTCACATACCTCGTCTTGTCCAGCAAAGGAGCTGAAGCATTCTACTAAGAAACACTGATGAACACATAAATACAAGTTTAAACTGCTCTAGTATCCCATATCACTACAGTCAGAATGGCTGCCACATAGAAAGAAAAGAGATAACAATAAATGTTGATAAGGGTGTGGGGGAAAAGGGAGCTTTATTCACTCCTGTTGAGAGTATAGCATAGTATGGCCATTATAGGAATTAGTACATAGTCTCAAAAATTAAACATAGAACTACTATATGCCCCACTGTATCACTCTTGGGCATATATCCAAAGGTCTTTGTCCTACTACACACATGCTTGCAAACTCCACACTCATGATAGCTCTATTCACAGTAGCAAGGAAATAAACCAGCTTAGATATCTACCAACATTTAACTGTAAAGAAAAATGAAATCATGATATTCATGTAATAATGAATAAAACTAGGAAGGAAACAGAGTCTGGCAAACGAAAGTAGAATATTGTCTGCCATGTGTGTCCCCAGCTCACAATGCCTGTGTGTGTATAAAAGTCAGTCTGTGAAACTAGATATGAGACCAGGAGAATAGAGGGAGGTGTCATGGAAGCAGAGGAGGACATGGGGCACAAGACACATGAAAGCAGAGAGATTGTGGAAGTGAAGGATAGAAGGGGGATCAGAGACATGGGTGAGAAGTTGAGACATAGTAAGAGAACCAATAACACATAGGTTTAATTTCAGTATGAAAGGTAGTACTGTTCCTGCTAATTAATTTTCTTTTAAAACTATAGAAAATAAATATTAGTGGTATAGGGTCATAGTCTTATGAAATGGTTATAAAGCAGCGTTTTTAATCAGAGCAAAACCTAAAAGCATCTCTGCAAACTTCACACTCAGATTCCTAGAAATGAAAGTGTCAGGCCAGTCTGAGTGGACTTGTGAAGTTTACTAACTTAGGAACAAAAATTACCAAGAGAAGAAGGGCAAAGACTGTGTAGCAGTCTCCATGAATTACCCAAGTGAAGAATGTTTACGGTGATTGCAATAAGAACAGAAACCAATGTTAGGTAAGCATACCTAGAGATTTATTAAGCAGCAGACTAATGTGAAAAAGTAGTATATACTTTTCTTTTATGTTAAGAAAAACTTTAAAAAATATTATCATATTAAGGACACAGTCAGTAGTTTAGTAAATGTATACATCACAGAGATTATGTTTCCCTTGGACGGAGATGTTTTAAAAATAATAGCTGTATGTAAATACAAGATTTCCCAAGTTTCTAAAAAGTTTGGTATTTTCCTGAAATCAGTCCTGTGAAGAGCTTACCAAAGTAAATTTTCATTATGGTCTTTGTCACAGACAAGGTAAGTCACTGGCCAGGCATAGGAGACAGACTAAAAAGTATCAAAGTAAAATATGTGTTTCTGGAGATCTAAAATGATTTGTGTTGCTCGACATTATCAAGGAATCTGGAAGTATAGGGAAGTGGGCTACTCTGATTTCTCAAGCCACCACAGTCAGAATGGTTGCCCCAAGGAAGAAAATTGATACAATATGTGAGCAGAGGAGATCTCAAGTACTTTCAGATGCACACTACCAACATGTGGAAGGACTGCTCACTGAACAGTAGACCTGACCCAACTTGAGCAAAGTTAGGTCAACTTCAGAGAGTTCTAGGAAGTTTCCTCTTTAAAGGTGGAGAATTAATATTTTGTTTTACTATTGCATAACCAGAACCCAATCTAATGACTGGGTACATAGTAGGTAGTCAAAAATATATTCACAGTACAAACTAGTGACTAGTACATAGAAGGTCCATTAAAAACATGTTCACAGTAAATGAAAAACGTGTAAAATATATTATCCAAAAGAGATAGACAGAGACAATAGACATCCAGACAAAAAGACAGACACCCACATGCAAGTGCACACACACATACATACACGTGTGCATACACACTTGCATACAAGCACAAGTACACACACATATGCACATGCACACACACACACATGCACACATGCCTGCAGGGAGAGGACAGGTGTCTAGAAACACACACCTACAGAAGAGGAGTCCCTGTTTGCCAAGTCCCTCATTTTATGAGTCAGCCTGTGGCCCAGGAACCCTGTTTATCAAGTAATAATTTATTTGCACAAAGAAAACAAGTACTGAATCTGATTTTATTTTCCCCTTGGGGGAAGCAAGCTGTCAGAAAGCTTCAGAGGGTGCAGCTTCAAGAGTTCATAATCTAGGCTATCCTACAAGAGAAAGAATTATCTCAGCCTTTTAGCTGTTGGGACAGTTGCAGCCAGAGAGTTCAGTCACTCAGTGACAACAATTCCAAGGACAAGGACCCAATCCCATCACTATCACCTTTACTGTGCCTCCAGGCTTCCATTTCTCCCTGCCTTTCCCTCTTAAGCCAGCATTTCCCAATCTGTGGGTTGAGATCCCTTTGAGATATGTGGGAGGTAAAACAACCAATTCACAGGGAATACATATCAGATATCCTGCATGACTGATATTTACATTACAATTCATAACAGTAGCAAATAAAAATAACTTTACGGTTGTGGGTCACCACAACATGAGGAACTGTATTAAAAGGTCACTGCGTTAGGAAGGCTGAGAGTCACTGACTTAAGCAAAAGCAAGAAGCAATCCTGAGTGGTGGGATTTGGTCTAGCCTAGCACATTCTAGCTGGTGGCTGAAGCTGAAACAGAAAGCCTACTCATTCATGAAAAAGACATTTCACATTGCATCACATTACAGTGAAAGTCTTTTCCCAAAACAGCCCTCAGCACCCTTGCAGTATCCTGTCCCTTCATTTGCAAGGTGGGTTCAAACCATTCCAGAACTAAAGAATTGGCAGTTGTAGAAGCCAGGGCTATTACCAAAATCCACAACCAAAGTGTACTTATCCCTCACAATTACTCTCCAGACTAAAGCAAGGTGGTGGTTTTGTTTTGTTCTGTTTTTAAGTATTTTACATTTTTTTATTTACTTATTTATTTATTGACAGAGGAAGAGAGAGAGAGAGAGAGAGAGAGAGAGAGAGACAGAGAGAGACAGAGAGAGACAGAGAGAGAGAGAGAGAATGCATGTCAGGATGAGTGTGTAGGTCAGAGGACGACTTACAGGACTTGGTTCTCTGCTTTCACCATGTGGATTCCAGGGATCGAACCAAGATTAGTAGAATTGGTTGTAAGTACTTTTACCCTCCGAGTCTTCTTACTAACCAAGAATGATTCTACATCTACAATAACAGTTTAACATAAAATAACTTACCAGAATTTAATAAGGAAAGCTGTCACACAATGTTACTGCCAAGCACTACTCTCAAGGGATGTTTTTACTAAAGGGTTGTCTCCAAAGTGTGGCTGAAAATTGCTTGCAAACATTTAAATCAAAACCCACTGACATTTTCTTCTAGACTTTGACATTCTCACAAACAGCGTGATACCTTATATTTTAAAATACTTGTATTCAATTCTCAATTTTTTTAAATCAACAAAATTTATGTTGCTAAAATAGCTCAAGTGAGATTACCTATTCCATTATCTGGATTCTGGTTATGTGTGGATTAGCTGACTTTTTAAAGATGTATATGTTTAGGGTGTGTGTGTGTGTGTGTGTGTGTGTGTACATGTGTATGCATGAGCGTAAGTGCCCAGAGAAGCAAACAAAAGGCATAAGATCCTCTGGAACTAGAGTTACAGGAAGTTGTGAGTTGCCCAATATGGGTGCTGGGAACTGAACTTAGGTTCTCTGGATGAGCAATAAGTGTTCTAACTTCAGAGTCATGCTGTAAGCCCCCTTGCTGACAGTTAAGGAAAAACTAAGTCATGGAGCCCCAT